AACAGGGGTTGTAACACTAGCTGCACTGTAAATATGGGTAAATGGGGGTTGTAACACTAGCTGTACTGTAAATATGGGTAAACAAGGGTTGTAACACTAGCTATTCTGTAAATATGGGTAAAAAGGAGTTGTAACACTAGCTATACTGTAAATATAGGTAAAAAGGGAATAGTAAACACTTGCATGCAGCTATGATAACAACAATGAAAACAAATGAAACAATATGGAATGCAATAATAAACATGCTGACTGGAACAAGCAAGTCTCACCGGATCCCCTGGTGTACCATCATTACCCTGAAAGATAATACAGTTGCCATGGAAATCAGATGGGGAAACAAATTTTACCACAATACTACAATTCATCAACACATGGCAGGTGTCATTCCTTCTAGCTACAGGTGTCATTGTATCTGACTGCAGGTGTCATTGTATCTGACTGCAGGTGTCATTCTTTCTGACTGCAGGTGTCATTCTATCTGGCTGCAGGTGTCATTCTATCTGGCTGCAGGTGTCATTCTATCTGGCTGCAGGTGTCATTCTATCTGGCTGCAGGTGTCATTCTATCTGGCTACAGTTGTCATTCTATCTGGCTACAGGTGTCATTGTATCTGACTGCAGGTGTCATTGTATCAGACTGTAGGTGTCATTCTATCATTCTATCTGACTGCAGGTGTCTATCTGGCTGCAGGTGTCATTTGATCTGAGTGCAGGTGTCATTCTATCTGGCTGCAGGTGTCATTCTATCTGGCTGCAGGTGTCATTCTATCTGGCTGCAGGTGGCATTCTATCTGGCTGCAGGTATCATTCTATCTGGATGCAGGTGTCATTCTATCTGGCTACAGGTGTCATTCTATTTGACTGCAGGTTTCATTCTATCTGACTGCAGGTGTCATTCTATCTGACTGCAGGTGTCATTCTATCTGACTGCAGGTGTCATTCTTTCTGACTGCAGGTGTCATTCTTTCTGACTGCAGGTGTCATTCTGACTGTAGGTGTCATTCTTTCTGACTGTAGGTGTCATTCTATCTGACTGCAGGTGTCATTCTATCTGACTGCAGGTGTCATTCTATCTGACTGCAGGTGTCATTCTATCTGACTGCAGGTGTCATTCTATCTGGCTGCAGGTGTCATTCTATCTGGCTGCAGGTGTCATTCTATCTGGCTGCAGGTGTCATTCTATCTGACTGCAGGTGTCATTCTATCTGACTGCAGGTGTCATTCTATCTGACTGCAGGTGTCATTCTTTCTGACTGCAGGTGTCATTCTTTCTGACTGCAGGTGTCATT